TCTGAATTTACAGTTACAATATTGTAATTCAAAATAGCTCTTCTGAGTAATTTCATTTAAATTTTCTTATTAATTACCTATAAAATAATTTGAAAAATAACTTGGTCAAGTAATGACCCTTACTGATAGCAGTCAACAAGTACACATGAAGTACATGTATAAAATTTACACATGTGGTCCAATTCATTATATATTGTACCATATTTGTGAAATGAATAAAAGTTTATCACATTATATATCATGTATATATAACATGTATAATGTCATGTATGTAGATCTTTATAATCTATATGTGCTTGATACAACTGAATTTAGGTCTTGTTGACTATCTGTCAATAAAAGATTTATCATTAATCACTTGTACAAAAATTAAACATGTTAAAATGAACTTAGTTAATTTCAATTTACTTTTGAAGGCAGTTAAAATACAGGACTGTTTCATAATTCACTGACTGGACATTAGTAATTTAGTATTATATGTTATATTGAATTTAAAAAAAGTGAAAAAGTAATAGTAACAGCACGTTTTAATTAATTGCTTATTAACAGTCCACAGACCTACCAGTGTTCCTGACTTATAAGGGGGAAAAGGGGGCATGGTTTCCCCACGAGAGTGGTAGGCCTGATACTTAAAATCTTTCATTATTTTATCACATGATCTGAATACCTCAAATTTGGCTTTCAATGGAGATAAAACGGCACTTTAACACATAATTTATATACTCAATCTTAACATAGTATTTATACATGTTTCAATTTCGACTTGTTTATATTTTTTCGTTTGGGCTTTTATTATATTTGCCTTCGGGTTAATATGATCCGTTCATCCTATTTCGACTCTTCAAAATTAAAGAGTCTATCCTAAATTGAGGTAAATTATATGGCCTTCCAAATACTGTTTCGATTCCTAACATCACTGAAGAGACATTAATTGTCGAAATCCGGATATGGTGTACTAATTTTTGCACCTTTTGTTTGCAGTATACGATCTTTTCCGCAAGTTTATTGTTTTCTGTTTGGTATTAAATTAATAGTCAAGATCCATTTTGTTACATCTGGTGATCCTTTTATTTGGCAATCGCCAATGGCAGTCAGCAGGGTTTAAGAACATCCGTTGTTCGACCTGCTAGTCAAATGCGTTTTGTTAAAATATACTTTTTCACTTTTTTGGTCTTTTTGAAAATGTTGTTTGTGCTGTATTTAGACCCTTCTACCAAGAAATTTGTTTTGCATGCACACGTATAAAAATTGCGGTTTTTATCCAACGCAATCATAGGTTTGAACGTTGTTTTCAATTTAGACTTCTTTATATTTTTTCGTTTGGGCTTGTATTATATTTGCCTTCGGGCTTATATGATCTGTTCATCCTATTTTGACTCTTCAAAATTCAAGAGTCAATCCCAAATTGAGGTAAATTATATGGCCTTCCAAATACCGTTTCGATTCCTAACATCACTGAAGAGACATTAATTGTTGAAATCCGGATATGGTGTACAAATTTTTGCACCTCATGTTTGCGGTATACCATCTTTTCCGCAAGTTTTTGTTTTCTGTTTTGTATTTTATTTATAAATTAAGATCCATTTTTACATCTGGTGATCCGTTTATTTGGCAATCGCCATGGCAGTCAGCAGAGTTTAAGAACATCCGTTGTTCGACCTGCTAGTCAAATGCGTTTTGTTAAAATATACTTTTTCACTTTTTGGTCTTTCGGAAAATGTTGTTTGTGCTGTATTTAGACCACTCTACCAAGAAATTTGTTTTGCATGCACACGTATAAAAATTGCAGTTTTTATCCAACGCAATCATAGGTTTGAACGTTGTTTTCAATTTAGACTTGTTTATATATATATATATATATGTATATATATCAAAATTAATGAAATTAAGCACCTAAAATATGCATTACAAGAAGATTAAGTTCTCTGTGATTAAAATCCTTTTGAAAAGTTGTCCAGCAAGAGTCTGTACCATTCAAGTTTGGTTGCTTTTTTAAAAACATATTGTTTGTTCAATCAGACTGGTCTTGATAAATACATACACTATTGCTGGTGTCAGAAACTCAAATCATTTAAGTATTCAAAAAAGTTATATATACATGTATATATCTATCTGACTGTCTTTTTCAAAACATTTATTGTAATCATTATCATGATTATTATCGTGACAACAGAATAAAGAAATATTTTGTTTGAAATTTATTGTTCATCTATGATGTCTATTATCATGATTATGATGATCATGTCATGTATATATAAACTGAATGATTGCAATACTGTTGTCTGATTAACGTCTAGTGGCAAATATTTTATAAACCTTCAAGACGAAAACAAATTTAACTAAAAATCAATGTGGTACATATATATATGTCCTTATGTATGGGTAAATGTAGGTTCTGTAATCATGGTAATGCTGGGTTGATCACACGAGGAGCACTTGGTTTCAACTTATATAAGAGGGTACAAAATGAATGTTTGGTCATTGGTATATATATAGGGGCAGAAATGTTGACTTGCAAAACTATCATGTTGCTATTGCCCATGCCTATGGCCCCTTAAGAGTAATTGCTAGAGTACTGGTATGTGCAGAAAGAGTGGCATGATATATATACAGACTAAATACAGTGAACATGGTACTATGACGGGCTATAGCGATACCAGCAAATTGTGTGCAAAAGTAAGTAGGTATTTTGTAGAAAATGAACAGTGTAGCAGCAAGCGTAACCAAGGTAAACTCACAATGATACTAGGTGTGTGGGAGAACATTACCACATAGACATGCTTACTTTTAAGGCCATCTATGTGACAAAATTCTGGCACTGGCAAATTTTGTTCCATCATAAAATTTCAATCCTAAAAGAGTCCTGAAAAATCATACTTACAAATGTAGATTACAAGCTAAACTAATATTCCTATCACAGGCCCCATCAAATCCCCTTTTCTTTTAGTTTTTTTTTCCCAAATACATTGGTCCCCTTTTGCATGTTTTGCAAATTCCATTTAATACCTAGTACAATGTCTGAGCAATATGTTATTTCTATATGGTTTTAACTTTTGATATATATATCAATATGCCAACATTCAGATTTTCATTACCACTTATCAGGCTTATTCTTGAATATCTTTTTCAGTGTTCTTGTAACATGTCAATTGTGTCATAGGTCAAAGTATCAATTAATCCCTATGTACATGATGTACAAGTATCTTTCTGTTCCTCGTGTAAACATAATCATGATAATAGCTGTTTGACAAAAGCAGCCAAAAATAAATTAAAAATTTCAACATTCTCAACTTTCATATTTTGAACAAACAATTTTACTACTCACAAGGAATTATTTTTTGAATCTGGAATAATTTTTCATTCTGGTTAGTTCATACTGAAATATCAATGGAAGTAACCTGAACCTTAGCCATCCATGCATGGCTAACCCTCCATAGTTGGGTTAGTTTTCATCATACATTTCTTATCAATTTTCCAGAATTCAAAAGTATTTTATTTGTAGATTCCATAATTCCTTGCTTACTGAAGTTCATAGCTATAATATATAATATCTGGGACTGTCTACTCTATTTCCCCCTTAATTACACCATATTTTAAATAAATTAATTAGATCAAAGTGTTATCTGGCCAACTTGAAGTTGGCTGGAATTTTAAAACTGTACATGTGCATGCACATGCATGCATTACATAGCCATGATAGCTGCAAATGTAGTTTATACATTCGTAATAAAATATATATTTTTCATTTATCAAATTCAAGTCAAACGACTGTAGGATCTTACAACATGTACAATAATGTGGAACTTCTTAACATCAAAAAAACATTCATAAGTCTGGGGAATTAAAACTTAAACAAGTGATTTTATTGCAAATATTAGTTTTTATTGCAAATACGTGTATGAGCTATCTACCTTTATTTCAAGACTGAAACCACAAATATGAGTAGTACATTTAATATACTAGAAGAAATGGTTTTATATTGTGTTACTTTTAATTATTTCGCCAAGATTCAAAGTATACTGTATTGAATCAAAGCACGCAGAAAATATAGGAGTATGATAGAGCAGAGACTGGTCGGCTCAGAATTAGAATAATGTGTCCGGGAGGGTGACATGTCTTCCTCTCAGTCTGGGGACTGTTACATTGTGAACTAGCATGTTTAAATTCCAACTCTGTGTGCTGGTTTAGTACAAACAGAGTTCATATTTACACGATTCCTTTCACATGCACATATGCACATGTTCCCTTCCTTATTTAAATTATGCATTTAATTTGCCTCTAGACAATAAACAGCCATCTATCATCATCATTTATTAAATATAATCTCAAAGCTAAAAATAAAATATTGAAGTTATCAGGAAAAATAACTGCTGCTGCATGTAAAGAATATTTTCATAAAACCTACATTGTACATGTATGGAGAATGACAAACCCTACCCTATGATAACAAGGATAAGATATATATTGATGATGCAGTGTAATAAATATGTCATACATGTAAGTTACAGAGAAAATAAATTTAATTTCACAAGGACCATTTATGTAAATCAGAAATTTGTATTGATTATCTGTGTCAAAAACTTTTATGATTATTGCGACTATCCCGAAAACACATTTCTAGAAAATACTTCTATATATCTAACAAGTTTTCTGAAAATTTTCACTAGCCCGAATCAATGCTTAAAGTTGGTTTTTAGCAATTTGTTGATAACAGTATGCAATTTCAACATGAAGAAACATGTATCTCAAATAAATTCTACTGAATGGCATTTAACAATATATTGACTTGCTTTAGTTGTAAAAAAATATCAGATATATCAGAGTTACTTTTATTTCCTACAAAAACGAAAGTGAAACTATAAAAAAAGAAGAGAAAATGAAAATTGACATAATTTAGCACAGTTATTGATCTGAATAAATGTTGTCATAACAAATAGAATTTGAAAAAAATATCAAATTATATCAAATATGAAAATGGCAGTATGTTTGTGCATGTTTACCAGTAAGAATTGGCTGTATAACTCCATTCTGCTCCTTTCCAAGGACCGTAGAAAATTGCCTGTGATCTCCCGACATGTTGTGTCTGAAATGAACCACAGAAGGAGTTCATGAACTTAAATCACCTTCGGGGGACAACGTAAACTTTCAATCTCCATTGGGAAAAAGCCAGAGAATTTTGTTTTTAAAGGGCGGTAATCGAAGTTGAAAAAGAAATTATGGACGATGTGGCCAGCAGTGAGGACGAAAAAGAGTCAGATGCTGAGACAAGAGACGGATTTCGACTTTGGTCATTGATAAAAAACGATTGGCGGTGAGCACCTCTCGCTATAAAACATCAAACAGACAGATTCAAATTGCAGATTCCCTTAAACACTTGCACTGCCCTCACCCAGATCGGCAGATGTGACACTTATTTATTATTGTTTTTTAAAGAAGCAATTTATACCTGTCAGCAAAACAGTGCCAGTGTCAATGGTATCCACATCCATTTTCTTAGTCATGTGACATATTCCCGCGAAATATCGTCGTGACGTAATTTGACGTTTTAACCAGGAAACAACAGAAAACACATTTGAGTAAAAATAAAACTCGAGTATTATTAAATGTTATTTATATGAATATGAGGAAATATAATGTATGATTATCCTCAGCATGTGCACTGTGATTATTGTACTAATAATTATCTTTCATGTACATGTATGTTATGGTTAAAATTTTTGCCTGAACCTTTGGCCTTGCTGGCAATGCTGCTAATAATACACCTTATCGCTATTCCCGGCTGACCCGAGAATCTGTCCCGCTTGAACTATTGACGTCATACAACAATCACTTTTCCATTGTGGCGTCAGATATTTTGTATTGTGACGTCAAAATTTTACGGGAACCTGTGTGATGGCCAGTAATGGCGGACAAATAGCGATAAGGTGTATTTAATATGGTTGCATTTCCTGTGCCAGAAAAATATCGAAGCTCAATGTCTGTGTCGTATAATATCCAACTACAACATTATTCAATATATGATTTCACACCCTAATATAGTCCTAATGACATAATAATTATGACGTCTTGCAAGGCTATTTTTAATTTTTTTCTATGACAGAAAAATATTAAAATAGCCTTGCAAGACGTCATAATTATTTGGACTAACCCTAATAATGTTAATACTGTATACCATAAATTATTTGAAAGAGATACAGAACAGAACAGGTGCTTGCAAGAATTGTGTCTCTCCGGCAGCAAGAGGGTTAAATTCTGCAATAAATATCAAACGCTTCATAGATGTGCTAAAGAAGCAGCTAAAGAGGCAAATGAAATTGAAAAAGAAGCCCATATTACCGTAACAAAACAAGATATAAAAACAGCAGCAAGGATTTTAGTGAATAAAAAATGGCAACATCGTTGGGACAATTCTGATACAGGAAGATTCTATTACAATTTCCACCATAATGTCAATGAAAAATTAACACTTGATTTTCCAGACCATAAAACATCAAAAATTATTAGAAATTTAAGATCAGGATACTACCACTAAAAAATTACCAAAACAAAATCAATTCAAATGTAGATCCAAAGTGTGAATGTGGACAATTAGAAACTGTGGAACATTATTTACTTTTTTGTGAAAATTATGAAGAGGCTAGACAAAAACTTATACATGATATATTTTTTAACACAGGATCGGTACATATTGATTTAGAACTTTTATTGTCAATAGAAAAAAACGACAACGTACTCAGTCTCTAGAGAAACACTAATGCGATTGTTGGGTGATTTTATCCGAGAGTCGCGCAGATTTGATTAATAAATTTTTAATTTTTCTTAAAACAAAAGTTAAATCTTATTTTTTCCATTTTTGTTTCTTAATATTTTAATACAGTTGCCACCTATATGTATAATTAAAGTACAAGTGAGTTGTTTACAAGAGTGAAAATAATTTGTACACGCGAGACTTCAATATTTTACAAGAGAGACAATCCAGTGTCAACAGCGACACCTACAGAATACAGAATACAGATGTGCAGAGCTAGATGTAGTCGATGTATTTTGTAAAACCTTTTAAGGCTCTTTGATTATGTCAAATGGGGGTACATGTACATCATAGAGGGGGGGTCGGACCTTTATCAAGACTCCGGGATCGGGTGATTTTAAGCTCAGGATTTCGGGATTGATCCTTTCGGGATCCGGGAATTCTTTTTTCGAATTTCCGGATGTCGGGATTTAAATTTCTTTAAATGCGGGACCTCGGGATTTCATGTTTTTAAGTCTGGGATTTCGGGATCAGGACCCCTCCGACCCCCCCTCATCATACTACATGGTCATTTCATGATCAAAATGAATGAAAAAATAGCTTACATGTTGCTTTTTACTAATTTGCCAAGAAACAGTGAAGAAAGATGTTTCTAATGAATGCAAACATATTTTCCAACTTAAATATTCCAATCCCAAATGTAAAGTTGATATAAAACTAGTATTAAAGGCTAATTAAAATTAATTGGTGTATTTTCATCCCCGCACACCCCTCTAAACTTGTCCCTCCCCCAGTTTTTTTTATTTATAAAAATTTAGTTTCTGGATTTTTGTTACAGAAACACTGCTTTATTTTACGGGCACTACAAACATAGCTCAGGAGGCAAAAGAAAATTGATGCAAGTAGTCGAGAAGGGAGCATTCTTCCACTTTTTTTTACTAATGGTGTACAATGGGAGGCAACTCTCATTGTGCCTAATTGATAACGCCTTGTATTAGATTTGCCTCCCCTTCTTACTTCATCCGGGTTTTAGTTTGAGCATGTGGTTTAATTAAGCAGATAGCATATTCCAGCCACATTTTATTATGTATTTTATTTTTTTTGTTGATAATATTCCCCTGCAAATGCAGGCGACTGTTACTGTATGATCATCCCCAAATTCGTTTGGAATATCTTCTGCAATGAGACAGACATGTTTAGTAATATTTGTGATTTTTTGTTCCCTGCATTTATAAGCGAGTCATTAGTTCCCCTAGTGTATTATTATGGACACTGGTTCCAATGATTGTGTAGGGAAAAATTCTCCCCTGTGTTTACAAGAGTGTCTATATTTATTACAGCCTTTATTATGTAGCACTGATTTTGACACTGTTGTTAAAGATAACAATTACATGAATTACAATGTTGTTGATGAAAATAATAATGTACTTTTAGTTTTAGATGTTTGTCCTTGGTTTATGAAAACAGCAGGGTTTATTGAATTTGAGTATCATATCAGATTGAGTGGGAAAATGTTTAAAATGTGCCCGTTTGTTTTGGTATTTGTAACTTTTTGGTTGATTTTTTTGGTGTTTTGAATTTCATGATTGTCAGATTTCAGTACGTTCTGATTGTTTAACATATAATTGTGGGAAAAGCTTGTATAAAGTAACATTGTGTGCTAACAGGAAGAATGGTTTTGTTAGTTAAGGGTATTCTTCTTTTATTGAATTGTCAAGGTTTCCTAAAAGAAATATTCTGATCCCCAATTTGATGAAAAAAAATATTGTGGTCAAGCAGATGACAAAAAAAAATATTCTGAATCCAGATTTCAGAATAGTGTTCAATTTTTAGAAAAATAATTTGATTGATAGCGTCGAAAAACTAAATTTTTTTTAGCTCAGACAAAAAACCATAACCCCCCTCCCCCTCCCCCTTGAAGTTAAATGGTTGCTCCCTTATGGCATGTTTTTGGTGTAGTAGTAAAAGGTAATTGTTTCATTAGAAAGTATTTTCAAAATTTGTTTCACTTTCATGACATTTTAACTCAACTTATGACACTTTACCTCTTGAAATAATGGATTTAATATTTTGGGCCAAAAAAGACCCTTACCAACACCAGTACCACTTTAATATATTTGTCAATGTGACATGTGAAATGACAATTTGTCAAATTTTTTTCAGATTTTTACGGGACGATTTTATTTTACTACGACTATTTGCAGTATGTGGAATGACATTTTGTTTTGCCATGTTTTTTCTGCAGATTGGTACATCACTTAGATCATATGAGGTAAGAATACTTATATTTTTTTTTAGGGTCAAATTAAGGAAAGAAATATAGTTGTAGATTATCATGATTATCTTTTTTTGAAAAAAAGAATACTGTCAGTTTACTGGCTTCAAAAGTTCAATTTCCTCATGCTTGTGAGACCATATTTATAGCTTACCTGTCATGCCTGTCAATGTCTGTTCTGATTTGTCCTATTTTCCTAGGCAATGTGAATGACATTGACTTATAAACATGATAAATGATGTGATTGCATTTTCATTCTAGAGGACTGAAAAAAAAACTATTTTAGCTTAAGGTAGATAGGGTGTCTTCCTCCATCTTTGATTTTGAAATACCAGAAAACAATCGGTCTAGATCTTTAATAAAATGTGCAAATTTTGAGAGTAGTAGGTAATTCATGTGTAAGAATTTTCATTTCAAGATAGAAAATGACATGTTTTATCATATTTATGGTTGTATTTTACAAAAAAACAGAATACTTTTGTTTGATTCAATTTTTTCCAACTTTGCCACATAAGGGGAGGCAACTCAAATGTAAGGGCAGATAATTCAGATAAAGTTACTTTTACAATAGAATGTGTTAGGAATTTACCTATTTTTTTATGTAGCAAGAAAACGGGTCCCGTGACCCAATTTTTTCTTTTTCTTATCTGAAAGCATAATATTAGAGCTATCTTATCATATTTTATCTCAAAATTCTATGGTTTAGTTTTCGTTTTATGGCAGAAAATTGGGTTTTCCATGCATAATCTATACAAAATCTGTCAATTTTGCACAACCTGTAGCGTGAAAATAAGCCCCGTGACCTATTCTTTTTATTATTTTTTTTTAAAAAGCATGATATAAACTACGTTTTGGCAAATTATTAAAAAATTCTATGGATTATAATTTAGACACCCCATCTACCTTAAGGTGGAATTTTATCAATGAAAAATTAAAGAAAATACATTTCATCCTTTCCTATATTATAACATGCCATATATATATATATATATCGCTGAAGAATATAGTAGTTATCTCCCTTTTGATGCAATAATCTTGTCCAGATCAAACTTTGCATTTAACTTTATGGTTTTATCCTAAGTAGATATCATATGTAGGAACTAGCCTAGGTCAGGGACTTTTAATGTATTTTTTTTTCATTTCTAATTTGACAGAAAACTTACAGTTTGAATACAAACCATGACTTGTATGTGACACTTTAAAATTATTCTTAGTGAAATTATTGTTTAATATGACGTAGCATGTGCAGGCATACAACTTAAAATCTGTGCATTTGAAATTTGATTGCTAATGAATGAAATGTTGATTGATTGATTGTTGATTGCTCAGGACAATGGAATGTTGAGTACATGTATATGCCTATAAGACAGCAACCAAACTACACATAAATCTTAAAAGAAATAGTTTTTATCAAATAAGATCTAAATGCAATCATTTGACTTAGAGTACCTTTGTCAGCCTCCCACACAAATTAGGTCCATTGAGGTCTGACACAGTCTACCTATATTTTATGCTATCTTGATTTTTATTAAGTTGTATGTCCAAGTTCAGATCTCAAATACTAAGCATTTGCTAAGTGACCTACAAAGATGGGCCTTATAAAATAAAAGTACAGAAAAAAAGAGGGAAAAAAAGAATAGACAAAAATAGACAAAAAAAACCAACAAGAATAGAAAATAATGGGGTGCTAGAATATAAAGAAAAGATAATAATAGGCAGATGGACAAAAAAATAAAGAAGAGAGAAATGAAGAACCTCCCTAATACTATAAACCGGAAAATTTTCGCACCGTCTTTTTTTCACGATTTACCAACAAAATCTAGATTCGCACCGTTTTGAATTCGCGATTTCCAGGTCGATGTCCTATATACGTTTTTTTCTTAAATGATTTGGAAACTGTACAGTGTTAATAAATGTATTTAAATCAAGTGATAAAAGCAATCAAAATTCCTTTTTGTCGGTTCACATTTAAAACTATTAGTCATGTTTGCTTGTAAAAACACAATCACAATAAACAAAGAAGAATGACCTAATTAAGAGTGAATTAAATGCTGACAGAATTACTTATTAGTTAATATTTTAATCTGATTGATCCGCGAAGCAACCGAAATGGGTAATCATTTAAAATATAACTGTAACGATAGTTGTTTATTTAGCAATATCTGTAATTTCCACTTGGATTAATTACGACTATCATGAGATAAAGTTTTGATATCTAACACTGACTTTCCTTTAGAAATAAAGTTATGTTTTGCGGTATAGATCTGTCGTCTGTAAAACCGATATCTTAAATTAGCCATCTACATACCCTATTGACATACGTCATGTAGGTTCTTGTATGGTCTTCATATTCGTGTTTGGATTTCCTTGAAATATTCGCGGTCGTTTTATTTTCGCGTTTCAACTCTTACCGCGAAAAAAGCGAAAATAAAACTGCCGCGAAAATTTCCGTGTTTACAGTATGAATATCCAGCCTTAAATATGATATCAAACTTTCTATGGTATTTATAATGCAATGTTATTGAAAGTTGAAACTAATTTAATTTTTTATTTTTCAGCTACTACAGCAATATATAGAAGAGAGGGAATCACAGTATTCATTTCTGGACTTTTACGAGAGTAATGAGTATTGGTCATGGGACCCAGATTTATTTTTATTGACGGTCAATACAACATTTTATGCCCATTGACAACTGTCCACCTTAGAAATGTGATTATGAATACATTTTGTGCCCATTTAGATCTAAACATGTGATATTATAGTTGTCGGCCACTAAGTGGTTAATACGTCATAACGATGTTACATTATGGCAGGAAGAAGGAGGAACTAGTCTTTTTATCAATCATTTTGTCAATCATTAGCTTCAAATTATCAGTGCAGATTGAAAGGATGTCAGATATATGAAATTGATGATTAGAGATCATGTTTACATTTATAAGTATAATGAGTGAAAGAAAGCAGTTGTTTTATTATCATGAATTATCATAGTACTAATGAATTCATTTCAATAGATATTTGTTATACATGTAATATAAGAATATGAATATTTTTGTAAAAACTATCTTGAATCAAATGATTCCTTGATAGCTCTTGAGAATATATGCGAGACAGCATATACCAAAAGAAGTCACATTGCAAATTGATTCATCTCATTAGAAAATAGATTCGAATGTGACTATTTTTGATGCAAAAAAGACAGAGAATGTTTGAAGATATATTAAAATACATATCATTCAGTGCAAGATTATTGTGTTGATACACCAGTTAAGGGTTATGTGGATATTACTACATATCCACTCTAACTTTAAGGAGAGATGTGGATCATCATTTCGAAAAAAATTGTGTTTGTGTACATGACAGGGGCTTATCCAGTCATTTTAGGGGATGGGGGGGGGGGGGGGGGGGGGTTTCAACCCAGGATAAAGCGGGGATTTCAACCATATGTCCCAATTCAAAAGCATTGATCGTCAAAAAAAAGGAGGTTCCAACCCCCCCCCCCCCAAAACTGGATCAGTCTGTGCATGGTGTACCCTACTATTTTTGCTGTTTTGAATGTTAACTGCATTGTGCACAGCTTGTGAACATATTTTTCAGTGTTTTATAGGCAGGACTGATCTTTTCATTAGGGATTAATGATATGAAAGAAAGACAAATGAACCTGAGATGTTGTTTTGCATTTAAGCCTTTGAAGGACCACACTATCATTATTTCATTATTTGTTATATGTTTTTTGGGGGCATTATTTGTTGAAATAGTGACTGATAAAATATGTTTTATGTCATTTATATTTATATTACTGTTAATTTATTTTTATTCATGGGATTCTAATTTCCCCGAATTTTTTATGGTAAACATTAACAACAAATTTAAATAATCAAAATTGGATTGATTGTTGGTTGCTTATCTTCCAGTGTAAATGTTCAAAAAGTACTTTAAATATTTTATATGCTTGATTTTTAGACTTCTGTAAAACCACTGAATCCAATATCAACGAAAATACAATTTTTTCTCAATCCATAGAAATTGGTACCCAAAAAAATGAATGAATTTACAGTAGTCTGGAAAGTCACACAACAAAAGTTGAATATTTAATTTGTTATTTACAGAGTTTGAAAGGTTGTTATATATTCTTTGAAAGAAAACAATCATTGTCGTGAAACATTGCAAATTTATCAAATTGTTTTTGGGAAAATATAATGAATTCAATTAGTCTGAAATATTTTTTTTTAAATAAGATGATTATGAAAAAGCCTAAAATCAATATATATGAGGTAAATATGGTTTATATTATAGCTATTAAACTTTTTTTATTCATAATATATTGTTTTTGAAAAATTAAAAACTCATCAAAATGGATTATATCTTTATTTAAGAATTGTCAACTGTGTTTTGATTTTTTTAATAAAACTAACTTTTTCTGTATTGTAATTCATTGGTTTTCTCTGTTTGACTGTTCAATATGTAAAAAAGTCTTAAGCAAAGTTACATTATATAGAGATGTATAAAATATAGATTCTACCACTGCATCGAGTGTGATACAATATTTATCCAGTCGAGACAGTCAAATTTTCAAATTTAAAACATGAGGCTCAACGAGGGTTTAAATATTTAAAATTTAACTGTCAAGATTGGATAAATATCTTATTGCATGAGGTATGGCGGGGGAATCAGTTCCTCTAATGAATTTTAGATGCCATGCAGACAAACTTAATTCTTGGATTGGAATGATCCACAAAAAGATGTGTTCCTTTATATGTGACATTATCAGGCATGTCACCTTTTTTTCATGATGTCACAATAGGAATTATAGAGAAAGGCAAGTTAACTTGATGTCATAATCAAATTTAAACCAGTGAAGAACTTAGATCTAAAGAACCACACTTTGATTAAATATAAATAATCAACAGGTCAGGAAAAGGATAAATCTTATTATAGAATTAATCTTTATTTACATTTTACCAAAAAAAAAAAGCATGTATTTATACCTCTGTTTTCTCCACAATGGAAATTACACAAACACTTGTGTTAAAACTATGCCTTATGATATTAATTGTTGATTAATTAAATATTTAAGATTTTTTGCTATCTTAATGTTGTACATTTGAGTAAAACATTGTTAAGAGTACCATAACTGGCCACTTTACAAATTGTGACCCTCAATATTGTGTAAATGGATGATATTTGTGATATTTATTGTCAGGTGCTTTCAATTTGTAAATTAAAATGTGTTTTAATTTATATATTTTAGATATGTGCAGAAAATACTTGTATACAAGAATTAAACCTTTGAAAATAATTAAGTTGATTTAACATGTTTAAAAGACCATTTTATTTCCAAAAATATGTTGACTGCCTTAGTGGAATAAGTGTGCTCACCCTCCAGTGCAGGAGGCCATGCGTTCTATCTCATGCCAGTTCAGACCAAAAATTAGAAAATGGGTATTTGCAGTGGGTTTTTACCACTAATATTATTCACATGTAAAAGATAAAGCAATGGAATATTTGGGGCAAAAAAACCACTACAAACCTAGTGATAGCTGGACTCACTGAATACTTCTGACATACAGCATCATTTTAGGAGAAATATGAAAGGAATCCTTCTTTTGACCACTTAGTGAGTCAAAGTGACACTTCTGATTTACTTAGACCAGTTATTTGTCTACAAATGCAGCCAATGCTGAGTCTTGCACCATGCATATAGATCATATACATACCTATCATAAGACTCCAGGAAGTACTTTTTGTTCTTTGTAGAGTCATGTTTGGTACAAAGACTCCTGCAATTCACTCACAGTCTATTTCAAGTTGGACAGAATCTACTTTAAGTTACACAGAGTTTACTTTAAGTTACACATTGTCTTTTTCAAGTTATACAGAGTCTACTTAAAGTTACACATAGTCTACTAAAAGTTACACATCGTCTTCTCTAAGTTGCACAGAGTCTTCTCTAAGTTGCACAGAGTCTTACTTTAAATTACACAAGTCTACTTCAAATTCCAAAGAGTCTACTTTAAGTTACACAGAGTCTATTTTAAGTTACAAATTGTCTTCTCCAAGTTCACAGAGTCTATCTCAAGTTACACATTATCTTCTCCAAGTTGCACATAGCCTACTTTAAATTACACATAATCTACATTAAATTACTCAGTCTTCTTTAAGTTACACAAGTCAACTTCAGATATCACATAGTCTACTTTAAGTTACACAAGTCTACTTCAAATTACACATAGTCTGCTTTAAGTTTCAGATATGTACTTCAAGTTCCACAAGTTTATTTCATGATAAGCAAAGTTTACTTCAAGATAATTACGTCTATAGTAAAGTCTTTTTGAAGAACATGACTTATAATTTGTAGAACTATAGAAATTATTTAATCAGGAATTTAATAAAACGTTGAAGTATATTAAGAGATTTATACAATGTTTTTCAATTTTAGAATATGTTTCATTTTGTCCTTGTTCTTTAATTTAAAGAGACATAGTTTTCAGGTCTATTTATAGTATATAAAACAGTTTTTTAAAATACTATATTATAATAAGAGAATTATTATCAAACCAATAAGTGAAAAATAACGCCATGGCTGAAAAAAGTAGCGTTGCCTTTATTTATCTATATATCATATTCCAAGTGATTTCATTTGGTGAATTGGATCCTTGCAAGGTATTCATGTCTTAAAAACAGGATTCAACTGACCATGTCCTAATTTCATGTATCCGAGTAGGTTAAACCAATAAGATTAAATCTATATAAAGAGAATTATATATATATTAATTGTTTTCTCTTTTTAAATACTTTATTATTTGTCCTTGATGTTGGATAATCTGGGATATGTTTACAAATTATTACCATATGATTCCTTTAAATTCTTTGGAAGGGCACACACTGGAATGAAAAGTCATCCAGTTTGACCAACGTATTCTTTTATCAGGTGTAAAATCTTTGGTTTGCTTCTAGAAGAGGGGCGAAAGATACCAGAGGGACATTCAAACTCATATGTCGAAAATAAACAGACAACGCTATGGGTAAAAAAGAAAAAGACCAATAGATAAGCAATAGTACACACAACTCAACATAGAAAACTATAGACTGAGCAACACGAACCCCACCAAAAACTGCGGGTGATCTCAGGTGCTGCGGAAGGGTAAGCAGATCCTGCTCCACATGTGGCACCCGTCGAGGTCTTCCAGCAATTGTATACTGGCAATTAATGTACGGATCCTATATATGATATATGATATGTTTCTATCATTTCATGGGATTTGTGTTCCCTATATTCCTTTCTTACCTTGGCAGGGATGTTATATATTTTATATAGATTTACACATGTCACAGTAAAAGGTTCCAATCTAGTTATAAAATTATAATAAATCAAATGGCTTCTTAAACCATAATTTTAAGGTATCGATTTTTTGGCGTGTTATTATTTATCGGCATCGGAATTAAGAGTTGTTTCCCCTTCATATAAAGAAATTATACGATGTGCATGGAATGATTAATGAGAAAATTATCCAAAAGAGTCCAGATGATGTGCATTTGATCAACTGTAGGTCACTAAAGCCCAACAGCAAAACCCATACCATATAGTCACTATAAAATACCCTGACATGACGACATTTGAAACAATTCAAACGAGAAAACCATAGGCCTAATATATGCTTAAACAATGAAGGAAAAAGAACTTTGCTAACATTACTTTCCTTATAGACTAAGATCCGTTCTCCTTTTGTTTTAAGTAATACCTGGTTGGATATTAACACATCTATGTTCATCATGCATTGTGGTAAAGCATCTTTCCGGGAGAACGTATATTATTGAAACATACAACAAAATCTAACAGACGTTTTATGTTATCGTTTAATCGGTTTATGACTATTGAACAGCGTTGCCTTTATTTATCTATATATCATATTCCAAGTGATTTCATTTGGTGAATTGGATCCTTGCAAGGTATTCATGTCTTAAAAACAGGATTCAACTGACCTTGTCCTAATTTCATGTATCTGAGTAGGTTAAATGTTTTCTTGGTCAGGTCATGTGACCACATCTTAGCTACTTTTTTCAGCCATGGCGTTATTTTCCACTTATGGGTTTGAATGTCCCTTTGATATCTTTCGCCTCTCGTTTGTGTCTGTTTGTTTCAAACATTATTTTGTGCTTAGTATTGAATTACTGAGATAAGCCATTCCCGACTGTCTCAGTTTGTTCGTATGTTAATTTAGTGTAACCTTACTATCCCAATATATTTGGGAGGATGGATACCTCACAAACATGTTTAATCCCACCACATTTTAAATGCATGTCCCAAGCAAGTAGCCTGTAAACCATGCAAGGACTTATGATGTCTGCAATAACTGTTTTCGTTTTACTGTAGTATTATTCATGTCGCTGGGTAATCCCAGAGCATTTTAAAGCTTACTATACGGTAATGTGTTTGCTCATTTCTTATGCCCATCCCGTATTTGTCAATCACACGACATTTAACTTGATGATACAATTGTAAGATCATTCTTAAGTAATTAACTTAAAGGAATATTTTCAAATGAAATGTCCAAAACTTACCTTTGTGTTGAAGATCTTTGCGAATTTCCTGAATTGAATTTATCATAGACACCAAATATATTTTTTTTACGCCAGACGCACGTGTCGGAGCGTTATGGTCATTAAAATGAATTATCTGTGTACAACACTTTGAATTTTTCGGAAGACTACGGATTGTATACCCCAAGAACAAATTTCTTAGCTATAAAACCTACGAAATGCTAGATTCTTAATGCTCTTCAACTTCGTACTTTATTTGGCTTTTTTAATTTTGTTTATTTGAGCGTCACTAACGAGTCTATTGTAGACGAATAAACTCATCATAGATACTAGGATTTATCTTCATCAGGAATGACTTCGTTAAGCCGAAAATTTGAAATCCAAGAATGCATAAGAACCGAAGAACTATAATATACCACAAAGGACATAAAAACAATAGCTGAATCCATCTAGAGTCAACTTTGACTTAATTAAGATTTCTGTTACTTTTGGAGCATATCTGCGTCTGTCATGTACGTGCATGGTATATTAACTAGCCAATGAATGATTAACGGCATTCTAATTACAACGTATCATCATGTGTTTTCTTGTAATGCCATATAAAATGCCATGCATGTTTTTTTAATTTTTTTATTTCATTCATGTTTCCACCCAAAAACATCAGTAAAACACATTTTGAAGTTCAATATTTAATTGGTCTTAAAATCAAGCTTTTCTAGGAGTTGGAGTATGTTTTCACAGAACTTATGTCTTAATTCCACAGCCCCATCTTCGTTTTCATAATGTCTTGCTGCGTGGTAAATATTCTGCGTTGGTACCAGCAATGTTGATAGATACTCGGTTTCTATGGCAGTTAATATTTTGTCATACACTTTCCTTGTCATTGTTTTCAGATCTTTATTCGAAAGGTTTTTATTTTCCTTATAAAGAAGCTCTACCTCTTTCAGAAAAAGGGTCTTGATATAGTATGAAGGAATTAATTTTTCTGCTGTCATTTCATCTTTGCCAAATTCTTCTTCATAGTCCATCAATTCATTTAGATCTATCTCATTATTTTTGTTAGCGTAATTTTCCATTGCGGTTTCAAAGTTTTGCTTTATTTGATCATCATCATCATCATTATCGTCATCATCGTCATCGTCATCATCATCATTCTCATCATCATCATCATCAGCATCGTCATTTTGGTCGTCGTCGGATGAAGAAACCTTTTGGTTTAAACGGGATGAGAACGCACACTCCGGCTCATTTATACCCGTTCTGTCAAGTTCGACACTACAGCAAAGAGGTTCCAGTCGGAAGGTCTTACACAACATATAACAATCCCTTCCTTCCGGCGGTAGTGACTGAATAATTTCAGATTCTATATGCGCAAAAGAAAAACGCCATAAATCAGTGTTTTCGTTAATCAGTTCTCCAGGCCAACTAGAAACTGCTTCACACATTTTAGGAATCAAGTACATTCCCTTGTCTGTGAGATTTGGCATCAAGGAACAGTCAGTAATTACATCATGTGGCCAACTTGTTGTGAAAACGACAGGATTTACGTCAATGGATATGTCCAAAAACTTAAACTCTCTACCTCTCCATGTTACGGACAAAGCAACAAGATTACCGAGTGGAATAGGTAGATTACTCATGACGCTTTCACTATCCCGTAGAATCATATGTCCAGTATATATATGTTCAACATGCTCTTGTAGAACATCATATTTTGCCAGTCGTAGAAGCTGGTTGAAGCGCCTCAGGATACAACCCGCGTTTAGATAATTACTTGAACGCTCACAAAACGTATCGTACTTCTTGGGAAGAGGTGACTTCACGAATATCTTTGAAAAGCCAGGAACGTCAGATGTTTCAATTCTCTCTACAATAGAACTGAAATGTTCAAGATGGACTAGAAAATCGAATTCATTCGGATATCCTATCTTAACGCCTTCCAATGTACTTCCTGCATTCAATAAACAACCTTTAAATAATGGATCTAATTCACCGACTCTAACCAATACCTTGTCTATAAATTGTTGGATGATCTGGAAAATGTCTGCATTCTCTCCCTTAGCGAAATCGACTTTGCCAAGTCCTGGAGTATTTAGAATAGTTTCCCCTATGTCTCGTTCACTATTTCGCATACGTTGTAGTTTAATTATAAGGTTATTGAAATATTCATCTACATCCGACATTTTAACAAGAGGTCTGTTTGGAAACAATCCTTCTGGAAAATTACCAAATTTAACATCAGACTCGTTTTCAGCTAATAAGGATGACGCTTTGAATTGTCCCATTTGTTTTGCAAGATCAAGAGGCTTTCTCCCCATGTCGTCGGCGATCATCTTATCTGCTCCATTATCGAGCAGACATGGAATAGAATCGGGATTTCCATCTGCCGCTGCATAATGCAGCGGAGTAGCGCCAAAATTATCTTTGACATTGACATCTGCATTATTGTCGATAAAAAATTTTATCATGGAAAAGTTACCATTTTCTGCCGCAATATGGATAGGTTGGATCCCCAAATCCCCTACTATTGATACCTCAGCACCATTGTCTAGAAGGACTTGAACAGCTGTTGTGTTTTCAAACAAACATGCGTTGTGTAACGGGGAATCATTATGGATGTCTCTTGCATTTAAATTGGCGCCAAATTGTAGAAGTAAATCTATTACAGTCGTATCCTTATTTCGAACAGAAAGATGTAATGGTGTTCGCCTTAAGTGATCACTGACTGCTACATCGGCTCCCGATTCTAATAAAAATTTGCAAATGACATAGTTCAGTTTTGCTGCTGCAAAATGAAGGACGCTTGAGAGATCTTTTCCCTGCTTGTTCACGTCACAACCAGACTTTATCAGTAAAAGTAGAATAGGGAAAAGAATGTCATGGACGTCATCCTCCTCCTCACTCCAGTCACCCTGAGTACACACACAGTAAATAGGAGTCATTCCTAAATGATTTAAGGAATTAACGCATGCTCCATGTTTTATTATTAAGTCGACCACATCCACGTTCTGAGACAGTGCCGCATTGTGGAGGCATGTTCTACCGGATGCATCCCTTATGTCAGGATTGGCACCCTTTTCCAGCAAATATTGGACTATTTCCATTTTGTGCTTTCGTATTACTTTCAAATTTTGAACTGAATTTTCTTCATCATGCATGTCTTCAAACCCATGAGGCGGAATGCTATTGATGGCAACCAGCAGAGCCGTGTGTTTAAACCAGTCTGTACTATTTATGCTAACTCCGAGTGACAGAAGTTCATCTAGCAATTGTTTCCAGTCTTCAATCATTGATTCGTCATGAACACTGCTCATCGCAGAGATAACATTTTGAACAGCACCTCCCTCAGTAGAATTGTCATAATGCAGTGGCACACCATACGAAATGAGTTTTCTCATTAATTCTATCTTTTGCTTACAAGATAACTTTTCATTGGCCATAAGCACTTTCATTGGAGGAAAATTGCTGTCAGATAAAGAACTCTTATTGATATGCGTTAATAGCTTTTCTATCATCTCATTATCTGTGACACCCAATAAGGCTTCGTGTAAAAGTGATAAACCACGAATATCGCGAAATATTCCTATATCTATTCCTGTCTTAATGCATAAATCTAATACGTCTATTCTGTTTTGGCGAACTGCATTCAATGGAATAGTTAGCCAAACACGCGAGTCGTCGCTTAAACCTGACGTGGACTCGGAAGATGACGGTATTTCCTCCTTACGCAGTTTCATTTCTTCAAGACGACTCTTATCAATTACATCTGATGTAGGGGTTCGTGAGTACAACAAGAAAACACCGGTGTCGTCTGTGCAAGCATTGTCATCTTTTATCTTTTTTTCGGCGGTCGCTTCGTCTTCTTGTGTCCTTAGCCACGGACGCCATTTGTTTGTACTGACAGTATGCATGTCACGTGTTCTTATTTTCTTGCTAATTTTCTTAACAAATGAATGAAGCTCCTCATTCATTTTACTTTCTTCTGCAACTTTTTGTAAGGCATCCCTAAATTTGTTTGAGAATATTTGTTCACATTGCGCTTTTTTTTTTAAGTCGAAATTCTCTGGAGATATATTCTGGAAGTTCAAAACTGTGTTATGTGTATCAGCATGGAATTGAAGAAATATTTCTAGGTCACTGATCTTCATCATGAATGTCTCTCTTGGTTTAGATTGGGGTTCTGACAAATCTGACGACATGTTTTCTGTTTCTGGTAATGAATATTTTTTTCTTTTGACCTGAAAAAAAATTAAATCATCCATCAGATTAATCATTCAATATACCTTTTCAAAATAAAATGCTAAGCATGCTTAGTAAGTACATCCAAATGAATGGTTTTATGTGTGGAATTTTTGAATGTTTATAACTGAATGTTTGAATGAGATAACGCGAGAAAAGGAAAGTATTTATTTTGGCTTGAGGAAAGGTGCCGTATATATAAACTTAACTTTAATCCCCTGGACATCATCAACAAAGATACCAATTTTCTTTTTATCCGGGACCGCAGCAGAAACGCAGGAAAAGGAGTCCTACAATAGGTCAAACGCCATAGGACCTAATTAATTTGTGTTTAAGATCTATCGATTCAATTCAATTCAAATGTTTATTGCCATATAGATTACAAACAATAAGTATGTGACAAATATAAAATAAGTATACAATATATAACTGAAATTCACACACACATATATATATATACACAATCATTTAATTTCAGTACGGCGAATAGTCCAGAGTCCCTAGTCCTCAGTTCTAATGACATTTTAATGTAGGACCCCAATTCATTTAACAATAACTATAAGGAGTCGATGATAATGTCCATACAGTATTATAGACCGCTAGTAATACATAAGGTATTTAACACAGATAGCCATAAACAGTAACCGTTATATATTAATAGCTCTTAAATTGATTCTTTAAGTGACGTATCCTTTAATGCTGAACATATACAAAGCTTTAACTACTTAGGATTACATAGTTAAAATAATATATTGCATCAGGCTGTATTACTTAATCTCAAAAAGACCCCAAGGGTTTACTGGGGTATGGGAATAAAGTCATCCTCCAGTCTTCTGCCGACCGACACTAAAAACAAAGTGTGGCAGCCGTTTGGCTGTAGATGTATAAATTCGCAGCCTTGTTAAATCTGTTGCCTATTGATTTAAAAGAATAGTATAAAAATGTGCTTAAAATTATCCGTTGACAGTTCTTCTCCAAAGGTGTGGGTATCTACGAATAATGTTTTCAAGGTAAACACGGATTGGTTTATTTCTTTTTAATTTAAGTCCAGTGGCAAATATTTCAAGTTATGAATATTTAGGACAAAGAACAAATTGATAATGAATCCAATACGCACTCTTGTAACATGGTAATAATTTAAGACGTCTACAGAGGAGTTGTTGGATAGGGACAGACAATTTGTTTCTGCACTAGGTCATGTACCTATTTGGATAAACGCGTAAAGAGTTTAGTACTCTACTTGCAAATGTTACAAGAGGCACTGGATTTAACGTCCCAATTACAGAACGAAGTGACTGCGTATTTAAACATACGCCCCCGCACTATCGCATGGGTTGACCTACCGGATGGGAGATGTCCAGTGAGCCATATTTATAACCGTGTCAACCTCTTTGGGACTTCAAACAAACGGACGATCACCAGATAAATAGAGTTAATGTTTGTCCAGTGAGCCATATTTATAACTTTGTCAACCTCTTTGGGACTTCATAATAAAAACGGACGATCACCTGATAAATAGTGTTAATGTTAGTTTTTTAATTTAAACATGATTTTCTTTAATTCTTACGATACGTTAAAACAAAATAATAACACAGGTAGAGCTTACCATAGGCATATATTACTCTTATGTCATTACAATACCCTTTTTGTGGTAAAATTGGAACTGTTGATGTTATCAATACTTCCTGTATGTGAACTTTTCAATGTATTGCGCATGCACTTATAAATTTTTAAAGCTTTTTATAGTTTCAGGTAATTCAAATCATAAATATAGTGATTTAAAATCCATTTATATCGCTAACTCTTTTTATTTTGTTTTAATTTTATAATTGGAACAAACAACCAAAACCTGTCACTTTGAATATATAGAAGCTAGGTACAATATTCAAAAGTTTTTATTTTTATCATGAATATCATTTTATTAGGGTAACCAGATTAATTTTTGGATAAAGTTTGTAATAATAACACGCTGGATCTGTCTTTGTTTTCATGTAATAACTACAACCGCTCAGCATTTTTTTTGTATATCTCCACTAAATCATAGGTGCTTGAGAACAGGACCCTATGTTCAGCCTCCATAGTCCCTCCCCCTTCATTATCATAAATCCCCGATTTTCTAATATATATAATTTATTTGTACCATATGTATACCAATATACCATACTTTAACTCTAAATATACATGTTTACTATCAATGTGCCACTCAACTATAGAGCGAATATATAAGATGTCGTTAACTGAAATTGGATACCCTGCATTGATCATGCTTTTCTATAACATATGGTCAAATCGCTGAAAGACCCCCTCCTAAATTATGGAAAACTGTCATTCTGCATTGACAATAATATCTTGGTGGTCTTGCTAACGCCCTCATATGTTATCTGGTACCTAAAACGTAAATATCATCACTTTTTCAGAACCAATTCAACTAACAGAAATACCAGAGAATGGTAATACAAAACTAAGGAGATGAGGTATGATATCGACATCTATCCATCAGAGTCCAAATGACATATAATAATATATGCATTAAATAATTCAAGCCTCTCCAAATTTTAAGAAAGTTTATTAAATAATTTTTGTCGTCTATACTAAAAAGAAAAATTAAACAGATTTTCAATTTTATTTCACCTGCGATAAAAAAAGACAAATGAATGACATTATGGTTGATTGATCTTTTTTTCTTAACGTCCAGTTGCATGAATATGTCATGCATATTCAGGACGATAACACATTAGGTATGCAATGTGGACCGACCAGGATGAAGCTCAGGAATAACGACTGCCACTGTAAAATAAGTGTACTTTGGACAGGGGCAGTTATTTTACTTTGCAAGAGGCCACATACGGACCCCCTAAAGAGTTGTTTTAAGGGTCCTTAAACGTGATTTGCCCATACACGAGGCGTCGGAATTTAACGTCCTTATTCTAACCAGACGTGGCAGTGTATTTACACATCCTACACAGCAAAAATGGCCACTCTTCTTAAGTATGGGGTTTATTATCAAATGATAAGAGTTAAGGGTATACCATATTTCTATTTCCACGTCAACCTATACGGAGAAAATATCTACTTACTTTAAGGCACACATTTTCATTAATATCAGCTTTGGTATTAATGTGTTTGGCTGTCGTTAATTTTCAAAATTAAATATGACATTTTAGGTATATATATTTTCCTTTTTGTATGATATATCTATGCTGAGTAAAGAAAAACTCCGGATTATTTTATAACAAAATTTTTAGCAGCATATATATATAATAACTTCGGCTGACAATAAACAAAGCATTTTGCAAGTTTTTTAAATTTTACAATTTAGATATATTGATGATAATTATCATGTCACTCAATAACCAACATTTCAATGAGTTTCTGCATCTCATATATCCAAATGAACTCGAGATTAAGGATACTACCAAAAACTAAAAGGTCTCTTCCACATCTTATTCTTTTCCTCAGATGGATGACTTCCAACTAGAATCTATGACAAACGTGATAATTCAAACTGTCACCTTCTCATTTCTCCGCCGTAACACAATCATCCTATGGTAAATACAAATCTCAATTAATGTGTTACCTCTTGAATTTTATTAACATTATACGGATTCCATTAACAGGACCGTGCCCCTAGCACCAAAAAAAAAACGGCTCCAACAGATTTGTGAGGGAAAACGACTAAAATCGGCACTACACAAGTTTTACAGTCACCATCACGAATTGGTTGACCGATATTTTGTGTCTTTGGCTCACCTCCCTAGGACATGTTTTGCGGTCTAAAACATTAGATACATGTATTAGGTGTGTATATGTACCGATGGTGTCCTAATAGTGGTTGATTCACATTGACTGAGTGTGGATTAGCGTGGCGAGTGATATATGTACCGATGGTGTCCTAATGGCGGTTGATTCACATTGACTGAGTGTGGATTAGCGTGGCGAGTGATATATGTACCGATGGTGTCCTAATAGTGGTTGATTCACATTGACTGAGTGTGGATAAGCGTGGCGAGTGATAGATGTACCGATGGTGTCCTAATAGTGGTTGATTCACATTGACTGAGTGTGGATTAGCGTGGCGAGTGATATATGTACCGATGGTGTGGCGAGTGATATATGTACCGATGGTGTCCTAATAGCGGTTGTTTCACATTGACTGAGTGTGGATTAGCGTGGCGAGTGCTATATGTACCGATGGTGTCCTAATAGCGGTTGCTTCACATTGACTGAGTGTGGATTAGCGTGGCGAGTGATATATGCACCGATGGTGTCCTAATAACGGTTGCTTCACATTGACTGAGTGTGGATTAGCGTGGCGAGTGATATATGTACCGATGGTGTCCTAATAGCGGTTGCTTCACATTGACAGAGTGTGGATTAGCGTGGCGAGTGATATATGTACCGATGGTGTCCTAATAGCGGTTGCTTCACATTGACTGAGTGTGGATTAGCGTGGCGAGTGATATATGTACCGATGGTGTCCTAATAGCGGTTGCTTCACATTGACTGAGTGTGGATTAGCGTGGCGAGTGATATATGTACCGATGGTGTCCTAATGGCGGTTGCTTCACATTGACTGAGTGTGGATTAGCGTGGCGAGTGATATATGTACCGATGGTGTCCTAATAGCGGTTGATTCACATTGACTGAGTGTGGATTAGCGTGGCGAGTGATATATGTACCGATGGTGTCCTAATGGCGGTTGATTCACATTGACTGAGTGTGGATTATCGTGGCGAGTGATATATGTACCGATGGTGTCCTAATGGCGGTTGATTCACATTGACTGAGTGTGGATTAGCGTGGCGAGTGATATATTTACCGATGGTGTCCTAATGGCGGTTGATTCACATTGACTGAGTGTGGATTAGCGTGGCGAGTGATATATGTACCGATGGTGTCCTAATGGCGGTTGATTCACATTGACTTAGTGTGGATTAGCGTGGCGAGTGATACATGTACCGATGGTGTCCTAATGGCGGTTGATTCACATTGACTGAGTGTGGATTAGCGTGGCGAGTGATACATGTACCGATGGTGTCCTAATGGCGGTTGATTCACATTGACTGAGTGTGGATTAGCGTGGCGAGTGATACATGTACCGATGGTGTCCTTATGGCGGTTGATTCACATTGACTGAGTGTGGATTAGCGTGGCGAGTGATACATGTACCGATGGTGTCCTAATGGCGGTTGATTCACATTGACTGAGTGTGGATTAGCGTGGCGAGTGATATATGTACCGATGGTGTCCTAATGGCGGTTGATTCACATTGACTGAGTGTGGATTAGCGTGGCGAGTGATATATGTACCGATGGTGTCCTAATAGCGGTTGATTCACATTGACTGAGTGTGGATTAGCGTGGCGAGTGATATCTGTACCGATGGTGTCCTAATAGCGGTTGATTCACATTGACTGAGTGTGGATTGGCGTGGCGAGTGATATATGTACCGATGGTGTCCTAATAGTGGTTGATTCACATTGACTGAGTGTGGATTAGCGTGGCGAGTAATATATGTACCGATGGTGTTCTTATGGTGGTTGATTCACATTGACTGAGTGTGGATAAGCGTGGCGAGTGATATATGTACCGATGGTGTCCTAATAGTGGTTGATTCACATTGACTGAGTGTGGATTAGCGTGGCGAGTGATATATGTACCGATGGTGTCCTAATAGTTGTTGATTCACATTGACTGAGTGTGGATTAGCGTGGCGGGTGATATATACGTAGTAGGAGACGCTAATCAAATATTCCACGAAATGAAAGAATTTGCAAAAAATGCTCCTCTGGCTGTGTTTTATATGAAATCCATTTTTTAACTTCATGTGAAAAATTTAACTCCGATAGATCTAGAGATGCTCTCTTTAACTTTTCTTTACTTGACAATCAGCAAAAATTCATTTATTTATTAAGCTGTGAAGACAATCAGGTCCTTAAAGCTGTGGGAAAATTATTAAAGTCAATATGACTTGGATCTATTCATTTTTCATATAACTATATTATATACTATAAACCAAGGGCTTTATTACAGTCTAATTGTATTGTGATTGTGTATTTGAATTCTATGTTTCTATGCTATAAATCAATGATCTTTTTCCTTATACATGTATTCTCTATATGCCCCTTGTGGGCCCTTAATTGGTAATAAAATATGTTCTTGTTCTATCGATGCACCCAGTCTCGCCCCTTTTTAAGTCCATGCAATTCCCTCAATTTTTGATTTGATTGGCCTTCATCTCTTAAACGGTTTTATGAGATTTGATCATCGGGTAAGTTGCAAGACGCTTTTTTTTTCTTTTATAGAAGGTGTGTTTAAAATTATGTGTGTGTGTGTGTGTGCAACAGTGTGCATTAAAAGGGGGAGAGGGACAACTATGTAATAACATTGCATTATTCTTTTACACAGAATTTCTATTTTTTATGTCCTTTTGCTAGATGCAAGGTTGCATACCTCTATATATTTATCATTTTTTTTAATGCCAGTGCTTATTTACTTCAATGCTACTTTTATGACATTGCAGTTATTGATATTCTCCTAAGTGAGTGCACATAGGGGGCGCTTGCCATATGAACATTGACTGTGGAGGTACAGAAATCAACTTTGATTAGCTTTGCAGGGTTTTATTTTGTTATTTTCATGAGACTTCATTAGTTTTTTTTTTTTTATATCGTTCGATAAAGAGCTCACAACAGCTCATGCTTTGATATTTTATTATGTAAATATATGCTGTTTTCAAATGAAATTTACTTAATTACTTACTTGGCGTTTAGCAGTAATCAATCAAAGAAATTAGTCAGTGCTTTATTGTCATTGGTATAGGCAAGGATTTTTATAGTGCTATCCTTATCCTTGGTGCTGGTTATATTCTCCCGTAACCTATTACACTTTAACCGTAAACAAGTCCTCTCATTTATGAAAAATTATTCTCTGTATAGATATGTTGTTTCTTATTGATTGTAATATGAAATATGACTAAATATTGAATATTTCAAATACATATATATATATCCGTTGAGTGGCGAAATAGACAGGGTGGCTACATCGCATCCGCTTCTTTAATGATGTATTTTTTATAGTATGGAGGCAAATACCTTTCGTTTTCAATGATGTGCAAAAAGATCATGCTCTGTCTGTTCGACACAATCACGCATGATCGGGTTTTTTTTGTGAAAGCAAAGGAAAGAAAGCACATTGTACATGTACGTCACAATGGATGGACAGATTAATTGATCAGTGTTTTACTGTCTAGTGGGAAATATTACACTCTAATCATGACGAGAATATACCGATGTAATATAAATTTAAACCTTTTCTTTGTACTTCATAGACACACTGAGTCGGATTTGTTTTTGATTTGCTAGTTCACAAGGTAATAGTTCACAGAAAGACATGTTTCCTTATACGGACGCATCATTCTCAGCCGACAATAATCTAAAAAAAAAAAACAAACTCCTGCAATTGAGGCGCGAGACTAACGAGGTGGATTTAAGCAATGAAGAACTGAGATCAGTCCAACCACACGCTGATCATAGGAAAACAATTGTCCGTGGAAGCTATAAATCCGAATGAGGGACACTGATCTACATGTAACAGTCTTCTTAATTGTTTACGTTGACTGTCTGTCAGTAAAAAATAAAAGCTTTTTTTTTTAATTCATTTTAATTATTACCATATATTCTTTTACAATCTTTTAAAACAAGTTTAATTTCGGTCATCGCAAAGTATAAATATTATAGTTCTCTCAACTAAAAAATTTAAATACCATTTTTTTGTATTTTTATTACTAACTGAATTTTCAAACTTTTTTCATTTTCATAACACGGTAAAGGACTTAGTACTTATTTTAGCTGAATTTGTGTTGCTATGTATCAATACAAATCGTTGTCGAAGGTTGTGAAAGGGGGGTATGGGCACGGACGGACGGGAAATGGATTGGTGATTTCAACATGAACCATAAAAAAATGAAATAGTTTACACTTTGCTTTTCACTAATTTGCATGAAACACGAGACATTTGTACATAAATGAGCTTCAAACATGAAAACAAGTAAAATTAGAATTGCCAACACGGTGCTCGAAAATGACTTAACAACCCGTGTTGAAGACTCATTGGACAAATTTATATTATATTGAACATTTTCCGACAAAAAAGGTATATTATGACAAATTTCTATGTATTTGTAATCTCATAGAAGACATCTAGATCAATATCTTTCATCTCGATCTCAATTAATGCATCAAACTTTTCATTCTGCGCGACTGTAAAATGATTCTTCCAGTCAGCAACTGAACCTAGAAAAGAAAAGTATTATCAACTTAAAATGTAAAATGATACTAATTGATATTTATTAACAATAAAGCGAAAAAAGGGTATTCTCATATCAGGTGTTTCTTAATGAACTACGTATTTTGATGAATAACATTGTAGTTGAGAAGATACATTTTTCAACTATGCGCAATGAGCACTTTGCACTAAAATTGGTACCGTTAATATCTTTACATCACAAGAATAAGTGCATAATAAGAAATAAGCATCAGTGTTTACATTAAGGAAGTTTGCTACTCTGTTTCCAAATAACAAGCTTTTTAAAAGCAGAAAAAAATGCATGGTCACTGTGCTTGTTTTCGAGATGTAAGCCATTGAAAATTTGGCGGGAAATAATTCTCTCTAGATTTTTCATACATTTAACATTAGCACCTGTTTTCTTTCAAAAACGATGAAAAATAACAAGGATTTTACAAGATTTTCAAAGATGACATTTTTAACTATATGTAATCATATCATGGAGAGAAAAGTAGGTGTTAGTGGGCAACATTTTTTAATGGCACTACATGGATAAAATCAGAGGATTCCGAATATCTGGTAAAAAATCAATAACAAGTGGAGCGAACATCCTTAACATCCATAAATCGTTTGTGTCATACAGATGGTAGTACTGATTCAAATCTTCTAGGTAACATTGATTATTTCCACCCGTTTACACGATTGCTTAAAACATTCATAAAACTATCAATTACAAACACAGAACTGACTTGCATCGTAAGCTCCCTTAACCCAAGTCTGCCCCCTTTAAGAGGGTCTGGGTGGGATTTTTAGAATAGACTTAATTGAGCCAAGACTACAGAAAACAGGCCAAAAAAATAATAAATAAAACAAAATAGGCAAAATTGTTTTTACATAAATCAGTCCGTTAGTTTTCTCGTTTGAATTGTTTTACATTTGTAATTTCGGGGTCTTTTATAGCTGACTATGCGGTATGGGATTTGCTCTTTGTTAAAGGCCGTACGGTGACCTATACACACCACAACTTCTCATTTTTTTATACTAGAATATAAAGAATAGAGAATAATGGGCAAAATAAATAAAATATAGAGCAAAACGACCTTAAAATATCAATGAATACAATAATACCTTTCCTGTAAATTTCCGGAAGTTTAAGACTTGGATTATCCTTAGTACTAGCCTCAATTAGGACTTTCATTTCTTGACCCATTGATTTAACATCTTTGTCCGCCTTTTTAAGGTTTTTAAAATCACATTTGTTAACAATGTCTTTTACTAAATTGTCAGTCACATGAATATTAATGAAATCTGCTAACCGTTGTATTTCTGTAACTGGATCCTGTTGAAAAAAATCTCAAAGTTTAATATATTTGAAGTTTCTATGCTTCGTACTTGGCAAACGCATGTTGATGACCTTTGAAGGCAAATAGAATATAGCCATTCGCAAATTTATAACAATTTGTTGAACAACACAATCTTTATACATAATTATTCATTAGAATTAGTTCTCTTAATTTTTCGGCGTGCACATTACAAAAATGTATTTTTTGGGGCCCTTTATAGCTTACTGTTCGGTGTGAGCCAAGGCTCCGTGTTGAAGACCGTACTGTGACCTATAATGGTTTACTTTTATAAATTTTGACTTGGATGGAGAGTTGTCTCATTGGCACTCATACCACATCTTCTTATATCTATGTATGTATTTTGGAGTAGTTTTTTTTGGCGTACGATGTTGAATGGTAGAAAATTGTCCATTGACTTTTAGTATCATATTTTCTCTCATGAATTCCTTGACGTTTGCTGCCTACAAGTCAGCTCAACCAAGGATTTCTATTGGTTTTCCCTTCGAAATATTTATTGATGCTGTCATGATTTTGTTAACCGTTGTTGAATATTTTTTGTCACATATGACCATGGACATGTTCAGTTTGTGGTAGACACATTGAAATGTCCCGTCATCTTTTACATGAAAATGACGTTACCGAATATGACTAATTATTACTTGTTTATTAGTCATTAACAAACAACGGTTGCCATTAATGGAGCAAGAGCTGCCTTTCCTTCCAGAGCAGCTGAGTTTAATACCGTAGTTTGGTGGGGTTCGTCTTGACTAGAGTCTTAAGTTTTATGGACTGTTGATTGTCTTTTCCTTGTCTTTTTAAATGGTTACATGGTGTTTTCTGGTTTTGCTTTTTGGTTTGTATTTTTAGTGTCCAGGACTCCTGCTAACAATTTCTTCTGTTCGTAATGTACGCTATTATTTATCATAATAATGGTACTGATTTTAGTTTTTACATAATTGATCGAAGAAAGGTAAGTGTCGTTCATATGAAAGAATATATATTTTAGTATTGGGAACTGTATAGTTGAAATAGTTGAAATTGAGCTTTGTTCTAGCCTTCAGTGACTGCAAATACCATCAAACCGGTATTTGTATATAACTTCTTATGTTAGTTCCAATCTGATGGATCAAGTCTTTTCCAGATGATGTTTATAATTTGTTCTTATATTGTCCTTTTACACTACTGTTCCATGTCAGTATTGAGTGCTACAACATGATTAAAACACCACAATATTCTTTTTGTGCCTGTCAAAAGCCGGGGCCAGTAATGCTGTGGTTTCTGTCTGCAATAATTATTTTTCGAATATTGTTTTATTTTAACTCAGATCGTTGATTTCTCTTCTAAATTGGTATACATCTTGTTCATCATAGGGGATTACTTTTATCCATTAAAGTTGAAGGTCGTAAGAGAACTTTAGTTGTTCATATCCTTGTCCTATTAGTTAAGGATGTACTTAGGTGAGGGTTTGGAATTTGTGTCAGATGTTCGGACTCCTTGGTGTTTTTCTATACGATACAAGGTAAAATATTTTGCCCCATAACATCTATTTATCTTTTAATATAAGACTTAGTAGCTCATAAAAGGTCATTTGACAAAATTTAAGCAGATTTTTGATTTTCTTTTGTTTGATTTGAGACCCAAATAAAACCAATGAAAATATAAGGTAAAAGTCCGAGTCAGCCTTTTCCCGCCATATTTTATAAATCAAATATCTTGAAAAGGTGCTCCATGACCTATCAAAATTTTTAGTTTATTTTGGTCCTTACCTAATACTCTTCCAGCTTATAGTACCAATTTTAAATTCTTGATTTATTTAATTTCACCTTAGATTACCTAAGTACATCCTTAACGTAGTTTTCAATGTACGTTTATATATATACACACAATCAATTTTAACATCACTTACCGATTTTAATTTTTCAAAATGTACAGAGAGAATGTTTTTGTTTTCTTTCTTCGCCCTCGACATTTCCCTCTCATAAGCAAACCATGTACCATAAAACTGTACTGTAAATATTAAGTAATGTGAACATCGATGCCCTGTATACTTAAGTTACGCACATGGTAGATGTTTCATTAACCACTTCTAGTCAAATCAAACCAGAAACACGAATACATGTCAATATAACACAATGCCCAGATTCACTATGACATTTCCATGTTCAGTGAACCGTGAAATCTGGGGAAAACCTTTATTTTGCATTCATTTTAACAATTGCACATAGTAATAAACATTTGTGTTCTACATTTCAAGTTTATATTAAAACAAATTCATGGTAATCTATATTAAAGTTCGATCAAAACTTTGATTCGGTACGGGGCAATGGACGGACGAACAGACCCACAGACCGGAAAACAAATTGCCTCCTACTTCCTTGGGTGGTTCATTAAAATGTTTTGAATGTCCTAATCGACAGATATTGACATGTCAACTTTTTTATAACTACATTGAGTAGGAACGTATCAACTTATGTAACTGTTATTTTCAGAACTTTTTGACGATGCAAATACGTCCTAATACACCGTTTGAAAAAAAGCTCATAAGGAACAGATTTCTTTTCCTTTAAGTAAAATGAGACGTGAAACTCTGGTTTTTAAGAACCCTAACAACATGAATTTAAGAAGATTGTTTTGTCCTTTCCTGCATTTGTTTATTTTGGTATAATGATAAATAAGTACCCTCATTTACTTAACATTGTTTGTTATCAATACTGCTGTACTTCATCAGAAATGAAAGATAAATCGACTAGTTTCGTATACAAAATCAAAATATCAAAACAAAGAGATGTATCGCTATGCCAAAGTGACAGCAGCTAATCAACAACATAACTCAATCAATGAAGAAATATCGAGTCAGATAAATCTATTAATGAATTTATTAGTCACAACTACAAACTTCCAAAGTCACCAACATACAATTCTTTATAACTCTTTCAAGATGCCAATCTTACATGCCGAAAAAGATAGATAACACATAGCAAAAAAGCAACTTTCCCATTGTCAACTTTCTCTTTTCAGTGGTGAAATGTCTTCTTTCCTATTACTTGAAGTTTAAACATATTAATTGATACGTTACTCACGTGTATGGTGATATTATATAGACTATATCAACAGAGGAGTGAAGGGAATAATTATCATGTTAATAAACTCATACCTTCACCAAAAACGTAATCGTTAAAGTATTGGTTCCATGTCACATTTTCAGATTTTGGTCCCAAAAGTCCCGAACTGATAGCATGATGGTACAGTGAAACGTACATATCTTTAGGATTCCGAGTGACATGGATTATTTTCCCGCCATTTTCAATCAGCTTTCGTGGTATAAATCTGTACGGGAAATGAGTATTCAGTAACCGACAAGCTTCACCGTTGCCAACTGAACTCAAATCAATTTTTCCTTCAATCATTAACTCTTCTTTAATATCTCTTTGGTAGTCGGCCTTTCCTTTCATTATCATGCTCACTATCTCCCAAACCCAGTGAGTTCCTGCATGATAATGGAAATAATTGCTTCAGTAAATTTTGCTCTGATTTACGTCATATAAAAAGTGTATGGTAACATTATTGTCACGTTTCGGTGTCACTGCATTCGTATACATGTATATACACCAAGCATTTCGGCAAATTGTTATTTTTTTCATGGAAACTGTCATCTTGAAATTAGTTTAAAACACTTTAAGCGCACGCAGTCCTAATTTATTGTGATGATTTGACAATAGATAGGTTTGTTTTGTTGGTGCTTTTTTCTTTCATTCAAAACGCTATGATCTGAAAGAATTATTGTTCTTGAACTCAAATTTTAGAAGTATTTTCAAATCAGTTTTACATTTCACCTCGATTATGAAAGATAGAGGAGTTTCAGCAGCACTTTGAAATTCTTGCAAAACTGGATTCCAAATTATTTGCCGTAGTTAGAAGCTCGATTATTTTCTATTTGTTTTTCATGCTTTTTGTTATTCATTTGCATACATTATAACTTGTATGTATTGGTCATAAAAGTGGAAGGATTTGTTAGATTATCGAATTAAAAGTTAAATGTTTATTTTTTTGTGAATAATTTTTATCAACAAACAGACATATACGTGACCTTCTGTATACATCCTCTAATTGTGAGTGCACCGTTTAAATATGAATTGACATACTATAGTTACTGTAGTTAACAAAAAAAAAAAAAAATAATCTCACCACATTTAGGATAAGCGGCTACTAAAATGTCATCTCCTTTTATTGCCATGTTCTGAATTGCTTGTAATCTTTCAGCAATCTTTGAATTGTCTCCCCAAAATGCCATAAAGGGGTGTAATGCAATTTTTTCCACACATGGAATATCAATCTCGAAGTCACCGTTCTTATACTGGTACCTCCGAACAGTAAACAGTTCATCACTTCTGTCTGAGCTCATTGTCCTGTTAAAGTAAAGAATTATTGTATTGTATATTTCGTGTGTTACAAATACTGCTAAATGGTGGACCCTGAAAGTCACATTATAATAAAAGATACCAAAAAGAAATGGCAAATCATATTGTAAAGAGGAAAAATTGTGCAAAGGACTTATTTTCAATTGCGAAAATCTTATCAAACGGTATGATGATTCAACAACAGGAACACAACGCGAAATGATAATCTCACAAACGGGTCTAGCCAGAAAAATCGCGAAATTTAAACTTATAAAATACTCCGCATTAAAGTAGCTCAAACACAGACAATAACATGACTAAAATAAAAAAGATAAAAAGACAAACAGTCCACACAACACATAATGAAAACTAAAGTAACAATGATGATGGAAGTTTTTAACGAACTTGACTGGCTATACAGCCCTCGCACGGTCGTAAAGTAACAACGGACTCCATCAAGGACATGATTGAACTCAAATGTTCTAGAAGTGTATATACATAAGTAGATCCTGCTCAACTAGGGTATACTGATACGTTAGTGTCAAACGACGGGTCTGTTATATTGTAATACTCATGAATTGTGAATCAAACTAATGAATAGGGATTGTTCTATTTGATGAATAAATTGATTCATTTCTTTCACAATTGTAAACCGAATGCATCTGTTTCAATAGTTTATCTCGCCTGGTTTCTCCATTTCTTCTTTGGTTTTTAATGTCTTGCTTGTTTTGTCCATATTACCCTTTGCCTTTGATGATATCATAAATAATGTAGAACTTCAAAACATTTCTGTTTAAACCTTGTGACACAATACGTAAAGATGGTTTTGGAGTAGCAGTGTCATTTTTTTTTTATATATAGTGGATAAGATTGACTTTGTAATGTCGAAATGATTTTTTACATTTGTCATCTTTGGGCCGTTTATAGATTGTTATGCGTATGGGTGCTGCTCTTTGTTGAAGAACGTACGGTGACCTACATTTGCTAACTTATACGTTTGGTCTCTGGTGGATTGTTATCACATAGTATGTTTACACTTTATTACACATTGAGTCCGATTTCCGATGAGAATAATCCTCCAAGAGAATTCAGTAGCCAGTTCCTCAGCTGTTCGGTAAGCACTTCTGCCAGGACGTGTAGTTTTTTCTGTAATCTCAAAATCCTCACTGTATAATTTATTTAACATTATTTTGTCCTTCGTTTCTATACTTTCTACTGTTTGCGAACTGTGTGTGCATTTACATTTTTATTTCACTAATATTTTCATTTCTTTTCTCCTTACCGTGATAAAACAATTTCGTTTTGGTAATGGCGATTTGAATATTTCTCAATCATATATTCAACACTTAGATAACAGCTTTGCATTTGTCTTTCCAATATCACTGTACAATGGATTGTTATAACACCTGTCCCCATTTACATCAAGATCGCAGTTAAATGTAACCTTCTCGCAGGTATTAAACAAGGACAAGCTAAACACAATTTACGAAGTAGTTTTAACTGTACAGGAATGATCATCTACTCATCTCTTCGGTATAATAAGAAATCATACCCATTGCGTTGAAAGAAATACTACACGAATTTCATGTTTGTGGTACACAACAACCAACATAACTTTCACCACCTTCACGTCAACAATAGAAATTACTTCTACACTCCTCTGTACCATGTTCAGTGTATATAAAGTGCGAATCCAGTTAGTTCATTTTCACTGTTGTATGCGAGTATGTCTATTGTAGAATAAAGGATGATGGGGAAAACTGTGTTTGTTTACTTTTTGAAAATACAAAATAATAGATTTGAATGTATGTTTTAACAGAGTTTCATTAGAATATAACTTTTTAATGTATAATAACAGGATTAAAGTCCAAAAAAGTGTTATTTAAGCAGCAGAATCATTGTCGTTTTATATGATTATACATACAACAACTGAAAATAGTTTTTAAATGACTTAAATATTGATGATATTTACAATTTGAAATGCAAGCTACTCGTAGATGATTACTGAATATACACGGGTATAACCACGTTCATATCATGAATATTCAAATATTGTTTGTGAGTTTGCTATAAGCTTGTCATGGATCCGAAAATTTACTGGAGCAGAACATCCATGAATATAACGTTTTTCTACGGCGAATTTTCTTTGAAAAGTTTTATAACTCGCTTAAAAAAGCTTTGAACATTTGTCACTCCGTGTCATACATATTTCTACCGTATTGATAGGCTTTTGCACAACGAACAGTACACGAATGTATAACGAACGGTACTAGAGAGAGAAAACAAACTACAAAGAGAATGAATCGTACAGTGTCAAAATTCTGAGGTTTTTCAAGTAAATGTCTTCAAATAAAATTAAAACAACGGGTTTTTCATTCGTATTATGTACTTTAACAACAACAAAGCACAAAATACACGGTCGCATTTAGTGAAAGAGACAACCAACTATGCTCTATTTGTAAATTAATCAAGTTTGAGTTACACATAGTGTTTGTTTCGCGATATTTACAAGTAATTCACAGACCTGTCTATTTAAAATAGTCACGATGGTGTTCATGCAATATAAATGATATACAATGCTGCCAGGAGCAGTAAACTTTGTTTTCATAAACATTGAATACTTAACTGAACAGTTAGTCAATTAGTCTTTGGTGTAAATATAAGAACGGTATATCTACCAACATTGCTTCGCGATGTAGCGATTAACGTGCGGAATCAACTGTACGGCGGTTATACCCCGTGGAATAGAACCATTTAAACATATCACAATAAACTGTTTTCAATAATTCTTTGTATTCTCACAATTGCGTATTGGCTTATTTGTAACACCGACTTATAAGAAATTCAAGCATATTTAAGGTGACTTGACTGTTGCTCGAACTTTCTTTACTGTATAAGATTTATACACAATGGCATGATAAATATCAATTATCCAGTCATCCAAGCGTCAATTGTTTGTGCAAGATGAAAACGTTTCCACTCATTCAACGTGAAATGAAGATCGTTTTGTGAATGCTCTTTGTTATCTCAAATGCATCCATTAGAGCTATTATCCTAACGCTTGTAGTTTAAAGGTTTGGTTGGCTTGCTTACTTTGTTTGAGGGTGGTGATGGGGGTACCTTCATGACGAATAACGGTAAAAAATCTTGCCAAATGACGTCAACGGTAATTTTTGGTGTATGACGATAAAATGAAGACTTTCTTCAAGACGATAAAAAAATCAACTGATTTTGACGAATCACGTTAATTTTTGTCCAAAAATAACGGTAACGATAATTATTTGAGACCTCTGACGAATCACGATAAGGATATGTTGACGAATCACGGTAAAATTGCAACCAATTTGACGCTAACGGTAGCCGAAAATGACCGTTTGACGCCTGACGGTAAAGGGCATTCATACCCTCTTGTTTGTAAAAACTTTTGCTCAATCTTAATTACAATGCTTAGGCAACATTAACACAATCAAGGCCAACCACACCTTTTAATTACAAGCATTAGGAAATTAGCTCTAATGACGTTTAATTTATTAGTATGCGATGTAGATTTAGACCGAAACAGAAACTTTGCTTTTCCGGTGACGTGGATTGGCTTAACTATCCAAGATATATGTATTTAATGATGACGTGTCATAGGAAAGAATTAATTTTATCCTAAATATAGATCAGGACAAATTATTTGAGAAAATAGAATTGACTATATTAGCAATAAATACCATGTTTAAGGAATTTATTGATATATTACCTCAGACTTTCACTCACTAAGTATGCATATATAATCAATCCTTCTGACTTCATAAATTTTGTTAGAGAGTCGGCTGAATTAAGACTTTATATAATGAAAATTAATTAATTTCCTTCTGTGAAAATGCATCGCATATACAATAGAAATGAATCGCCCTACAGTGAAAATGAAAGTCTAGTATCATTATTCGACAGTAAACATGAATCGCATAACGAAAACAGCATAGTGGAATTTGATTCAATATCAACAAGCTGAATAACAAAACCTGTTGTAAGTTAAACAACATTAATAATTATGTTAAAAGATACATTTTTCTGCAAATGAAACTTAACTGCTAATTTAAAATTTTTGCACGCTCTGTTTGTGAACTATTCTTAATATTTATCTATTTGTGTATCAATTTTGCACCTGGATGGCTGTAGGCGCGATGAAAACCCGTCCGCATCTCATACCTATATCATGAATTTATAAAAACAGTACACATTATATATTATTTCTTATTTCATTCAAAAATCTTGAATTTGTCGTCTGTTTATTATCATTCTACATCAGAAATTCATCACGGATACAGTAAAAATGACATTTTAGGATTCGCACATTACATACACTGGTGTTTATGGTACACAACTAAACAGTTTCAGCTTAGGGGACGACCATATGATTTCTGGGGTGGGATATGGGCAATCGTGAGGATTTTAAAAACGGATATCCTAGCCTGGTTAGAGCTGAAAATAAATAACCTGTGCATTCGACTGGATGAAAATTGATATTCTGCAACACAAAATGCAAGGAAAAGTTGTGTACAAAAGTGAAAATAAATGTATGTGCGGTTGATAATTACATGTAGCATGCATAATGACAGATGAAAATGAATATTCAATCTGAAAAAAATCTCTTCTCCTAGAATATCAAATCGTCGTTCCCTTATGTATCTTAACTTTCTACGACAACAACTACAGCTACAACAAGTTCATACAATATTACAACAACCCTGCTGCTGCTATTATACAATTTCCGTACGCATTTGGTATGATAAATAGTTCTGAACGAGGACCTTCTGTTTATCAGACGAATCCCAAATGCAGTGATGCTCGAGGCAATTTTTATTTGAAAATCCAAAACCTATTTTTATATAAACCTTGAAGTGCTGATCAACCAAAAGGACCTAAAGTGTATTCAAAACCGGACAAGGAATTAGAGCTTTGCATGAGGTAGATATATTCCATAATCTAACATGATTTCTAAAATTTTATTACAGTAAATTGCAATCAAAACAATATCCGTATTTTCATTATATTTTAAAGTAGAGTAAATCATGCTTTGTATACAACTACACTGATATAAACAAAACATTCTCCGAAACTGACATCAGCAAGATGCTTTAATGTTTTATTGACCAGATATTTGTTAATTTTGGAGGACTTTTTTTCAACTTACAATCGACATTCCTATGAGAACGTTTTGTGATCCTTTACTTGTCAATTTATTCTTATGATACAGACTTCATACAGGAGGTTTTCATGAAGAATATTAAGAAGCTAGTATCATTCTTTAACTTCACGTTTCACTATATAAATGATGCATCATCTCCCGAAATAAAGGATTCCACAGATACAGATAAGTCTGCCTCAAGTGTTAACTTGCATCTAGAAATTGACGATTTGGTTCGGTTGAAATCCAAACTTTACGACAAAAGGTTGATTAGAGCTTTCCAATTTGTGAACTTTCCATATATGCATTTATATCTAGCAACATTCCAGCAGCGCCTTTATATGGAGTATACATCTCCCAATTGATATCATATTACAGAGCTTGCTTTTCCTATCACGAATACCTTGATCGAGGGTTGCTGCTTACAAGGAAGCTAATGAACCCGGGTTCCAAGTGGTACAGTTGAAATTAAGCATTCGAAAATTTTACGGACACCGTCACTAGTTGGGGATGACCAAGGATATAACCAATTGCAGTAACTACAATTCAGTCCTATTTTTTCGATGATGAAATCAGTGAATGAGACTTTACACCGGTGTACTTGAATGCGCCACACGATGGGTGTCACATGTAGAACAGGAGCTGCTTTATCCTTCAGGGGCATCTTAGTTCACTCTCAGATTTTGCTGTGGTACGTGTTTTTACCTCTTTCATTTTCTGTGATGTGTTTTGTATCCTTCGTTTCATTGTATTTTGTCAGTTGTTTCTTAGACTTATGAATTTTGATTGTCCCTTTGGTATCAATCGTCCCTTTATAATTGTTTACATCAAATCAGTATAAAATAACCTTGATATTATGTTTATCACATAAACTACTTATTTCAGTGTATTGGCATCTTACTAAAACGTGATAACCTGACGTATAAGTAATCAGTTTTGTCAAACGCCATTATCCTGATTTTACTTTATGTTAAGAAAATAAAACATGTAAAAAAAAATGTAAATGATATAACAATCTCTTACCTAAGTTCAAGTTTTGTTAACAAACTGCATGACAAAATGGGTCATTCACCTGTGTAACATGTATACACATATATTTCTACACACTGACTTTGATAAAAAAAGATATTAAAGGTTGCTTATTTATTATTACATAGATGCTCAAGTTTCGCCTTTAAAAAAAAAAAAAAAACAATTCATGTTTTTACAATATATATATTTATAATTTTAGTATACATCGTCCAATTCGGATTGTGGGTACAGTTGTGCAGCTGGGATTTAATAAAAAACCCCATTCATATATTGAATAATTGTGAAATCCCTACCTATACATATATTTCGTATCGAAATCATAACCCATTCATATATTTATCAGCTCAAATAGTACCTATATGCATGTGAGACAATATCTGAAAAAGTATAATTTCCTGGTTCCATCTTTCACCAGCAATTATTTTTTTATTCAACCATCTTTTTGGAAAATTTTAAGTTTCAGTATTAACTAGAGTATATAATGCACCAAATATTGCCAATTAAACACTCTTTCTTATATTTTCTTATACTTCTTCCAATAAAATATTATAATTTGAATGTTCAACACCCCCCGACAATCATATTGTCCCGCGTTTTTTGACAACTAAATCATTCAAAGAATATCCAATTTAAGTAAACAGACTTCCGATTTTCACAAATATGATAGATCATATATAAGAAACTTGTCCCTTACTGGTCTGTTTTTATTACAACTAAAGCATATAATAAAATTTTGCATTTTTAAGGGTCTTTTAAATTTTGTCCCAAGTGTAATTTCCCTCCTGTTACCACTGGTTTTTTTCAACCTGTGGAAACGTTTGAAAGACTAAGATTGGATTTCTTATAATGCAATGAGAAGAGCATCATTTCCTGAATGTATGTATAGTTTGAATGGCAGTCAGTTTGAAAAATCCGAGCTCCCCAAAGATCAGAAATTAGAGAAGAATAATTTTGTTGTTCTCTCCTGTTACAGCCTTTTTGTGTACCTTGTTTGCTGTTATCCTCCAATTGTGACCAATTTGTAATGATGTATTTTCTTAAACTATGAAATAAAGCAATTGTTTTGAAAAAATAATTCCTTCCTGTTACCATCTCTGTCCTGTTACTCAAGATTATTTCATGTTACCGACATATCGGACTATATTTTAATATATTTCTTCACCTTTTGTATTGTAAATGCTAAAATAAATAATTGGCATTTGATAAAATATTGCAGGATATACTAGTAAACCACAAATAGTATCTTTAACTTATTCCTTATTCCCATAAGAAACTTTTTTTAAATTGATTCACTTTGGTAACAGGTAAGAACTGGAATTTTTTGTACCATTTTTTACATTGCCATTGTTACCACATTTAACAATTGTTTGAATTACAGACAACAGTTCCTGAATCCTCAATGTGTGTTCTTCGGTTTGTGCTATTAAAGTACCGGTTCTAAAGACATTTTTTTGGGGTTTTTCCTATTGCCAAAATTTAGACATTTTCAGATATTGTCTCAATGAATGTTGTTTTTAATTTGATAGATGCTTTTGTGCTTATTTGTAAATAATTGTTTGTTTTGATATTGAAACACAGTGATGACTGCTGTGCCCATATTTTGACTATTTTATTTATAATGTCTGTTTTGTTCACGCATCGTTGTAAATATAACGGAATTTGATGAGACTGTCGTACAAGTGAGAGGTTTAGCGCTATAAAACCAGGTTCAATCCACCATTTTCTACATTTGAAAATGCCTGTACCAAGTCAGGAATATGACAATTGTTGTCCATTCGTTTGATGTGTTTTGTCATTTGATTTTGCCATGTGATTAGGGACTTTCCGATTGAATTTTCCTCGGAGTTCAGTATTTTTGTGATTTTACTTTTTTCATATACAATCTTATTATATATTAAAAACCCAATAGATCGATGTGTTACGCAATAAGTGCAAAAGGTTCGATATGTGACCTTTTTTTCACTATAATCTAGTGGGTAAAGATTATTAATTGTGACTGTGTAATAAAATTTGATCAATAACAAAACTTGTGTCAATTTTAATGACAAAGAGTTTGGAAAAATCAGTGAAGATCGTTGCACTTGCACTTGCACAACAAACTGAAAAATTATGACCCATTGATATATCACAATTGGTCAATTACTACATATTGATATATTTCCTCTGTAAAATTGCACTCCATTGATATATTTGACGTATCAAAAAAGGGACCCATTCCAGCGTCACATATGTATATACCTTCATATAGGAAGAGACCCCTCCCCCCAGTGACCAAGGGATATCCCTTGTAGAATGTTGTAAAATAGGGATAACGTACCCTTTATTAAGGCCATCTGAGTTATAAAAACGCTGGTTTTAGACGGAATCTTGTGTATTCAGTTGTTTAATATGTGTCGTTTTTTGTTCGTCGGTTCATCTTTTTTCTGTTGGTATAAAAATGAGGAGATGTGGTATGGTTGCCAATGAAGCAAATATCCACTTGAGTTCAAATGAAATGGGTAGTAAAAAATTAAAGGCCACCGTACGGCCTTCAACAATGAGAAAATCTCATACCGTTTGTCGGCTTTTAAAAACCCCGACATGAGAAAAATTAATCAATTCAAACGGGGATTGTCTTTCTTTGACAAATGGCTTTTGTTTATTAATAAAGTATTTTTTCACTTTTGATAAATTTCGAAATTTTATTTTGATAAAGAAACCTTAAAATAAAAAAAAAAAACTATTTTGACAGTGTTAGCAAAAGTTGACCATTATTTAGTTTTTAAATGACGAAAATTTCAATACTATCAAATATGAATATATAAAAAAAAAGAAAAAACAGTTAAAATGAAAGTTAAAAATAGAACTTTGAGATATTAAATTTTTACAAATTCAAAATTTTTATTTTTAAAGTTTGAAATTTTTATTATTTTGATCTCGAAATATAGATTTAAACTAAGTTCTTAGTAATGTCAAACATAAAAAAATGTTGAAATGTTGTATTGTTTTTACAAAAGTCGGGAATTTCTAAGGTTATCAAGTTGAAATTTTAAGATGTTTAACGTCAACATTTCGAAAAAAAGATAATCAAACATATCTAAAGTTATATTTTTTAGGAATAGATTACCTTAGTTGTATTTGGCAAAACTTTTCGGAATTTTGCCAAGACCACGTACAATGCTTTTCAACCTCGTACTTTATTTGGCCATTTTTATTTTTTTTTATTCGAGTGTAAGTGATGAGTCTTTAATTTTGTAGACGAAACACGTGTCTGTCGTTCAAAATTTTAATCCTGGTGTCTATGATGAGATTATTGACATTATTTTTGAAATTGTTGAAATTTCAACTTCGAGAAAAATTCGATGCAAATTTTGATTTACTGCATCATACAATCCAAAATTACGACAACATCATATATATATGTATACATATATACATGTCTAAATTGAAAACAATATATATACATGTATTATACATCTGACAATTTTCTCATGCTCATTAATAGAGATGTACACATTTTAACATCAGTCACACTTTTCTTGCGTACATGTTATGCAATTGTAAGGAAGATGGAACATTATTCACAGTGGATTATCTCCCATTAATCCGGTAAATCTAAACTTAATCAAAGTACTGAAGTACTGAACATCGGATGACCGCAAGTTCTTGTGGATGGCCGTCACAAGCACTTGTCTCAGAAAAAAAATCACATCTCTATACCTGAAAGTGAGGTTAATGTACAGACATATATTTTTTTCTGAGACAAGTTCGTGCGTGGATGATGAATAAATGACAGGGAATTCAACATCACCGTGAGCCTATTGCATATCGTCAAATACTCTATAAGTTTATTTCTGATATGTTTGATACTTGAGTAATGTGCACACAATGAACGCTTAAACATCCCCAAAAATGTCCAAAAAATAGGCATTCAACTATCATAATTAAAGTTTTATGCTATTACTATGAAATCACGAGTTAAATAAGCTTTTCGTTTGTGTCCCTACCAAAATAATAATAAAAATGTTAATTTGAAATACTTCGAGATTGCTGTCAGACAATCAAAATAACGGATTCTCACGAAAAAATCTGTAATGTAATATAAAACAAAATGCTATTGAACATCTGCTGTTGAAGAAGCATTTAAATCATTAAATAAAGCTCCTGGTGCTACAATGAAATTTTGAATATAGACTTACTATACATTTAAGATTGAGACGCTTCACTGAGGAAGCATCAATTTTCATTGAAATAAGTTACGATTTAGACAAAAATAGGATTTATTTTTTTCTTCAAAATTTCAAAATAGCGGAATAATGAAATAATAATTCGTAATATAAGCAGCTAGTTTGGTTCATTTAAAAAAAAAATAAGCTAAAAAAATGGAGGAGGGGGTGGGGGTGGGGTGGGGTGGGGGTGGGTCGATAATTTTTCTCTATTTTTTATTTGTTTTGGCCATTATTCTCTATTCTTTATTTTTCTGCGCCTAATCGTTATTCTTTATTTTAGGCCTATTTTTGTCTATTCCTTATTTGTGTTGCTTTTTATTCTGAACCCTTTGTCCATTATGCTATGTGTCTTTACAATAGGCTCTAAATCGATGTGTCTAGGAAAGTGACTAAAATGGCTTTAAAAATCTTATGGTGATATCAAACTGAGTTACCTGATAAAGTGAGAAATCAAAGTCTCCATATTTTGTTACTTTCATTTCAGATCGAATAATTTAGAATAAAGTGACAGATTAAAATAAACGAAAATATGTTTAGCGTTTACAAGGCAAAATAATTGTATTAAATTAACCTATTAAAACTTATTGATATGTTAAAAATAACATATAAATAAATATTAATAGAAGTCAATAATATAGAAAGTATACCAACGAAGTTGTAGTAGTTGTAAATAAAGATGCCTGAAAAAATTGTTTGTAGTGAAATAAATATTAGAACGGCTCAGCCCTACCGCATTTTTAATATGGTTTTCCTGCTGTATATGACACTATTTACTACTGAGTTAACTTAGTGCATTAACTGCAGAAATCAGCAACTTCTTCCATATCTTGGAAATTTTGAATATTAAAAA